TCGGCCGAAATGACTTTTTTTTGGCGCCCCCCTCTACATGAAATCCGATGCTCCAATCGAAAGGGTAGTGCAAATTAAGAAAAGTCGCACCCATTCGCCGCGACGACAAAACGGCAATATACGATTCTTTTGCCCGTCTTCCGGACAGAAGTATGAGCGGGGAACACTCAGCCGGGCAGTTGCCGGGCCTTCTTAGGAACGCCCCTTTCGACCCCCACCCTATATAGATGGTACTGAAATTTGATGATTTCTGAAAAACGTAGTGACATTGACACCGCCTACCCTCCCCGATTCATTTCGCGGTCAAACTCCCGGAGGAAAAGTTTCTGCTTATTGAGTTTTAAATCACAAAGAACAAGTGTCTCTAGTGTGCTTGTGACGGGGCTAATGCACTAGGCATAGAAGTGAGTTTAGCTAGCTTGATTTAACTAATTTCACTAGATCAAGCTAAAGCACTTCTATGCCTAATTCAATTGCATTTTCCTGAACATTTATGAGCTCTCCAACTAAAGAACTTCCAGCCTCCGCCGGAACCTGACGATCCATGTTGCGATCCAAATAATCCAAGAGAGCTCACTTACCAGCAGATTTCGATCGCTCAGCATAAACTTAAGATGAGTTTGAAATTCCGTCCGTGTAAAAAGTTTGGTATCCTATTCGACGGGGCCTCGGTAAAGGGGAAGTTTACGAAAATGGACGCTGATCGCATTGGAACAGGGGGGGGTGGCATTTGGCTCGTCCCCGATTCCGCTCGGTCACCCAACCTTGGTGAAACCTGTACACTCCTGAAATCCTGAAAGGCAAGTTTCGCGGAGGCTCCTCACGAAAGTTTACACGTATTCTGATGGGGGCTAGGAAAGTATCCATTCGTACACCAAGGCTGCTCCAACTAGGAAAATACCCCCTCATTCCTCTAGTGGGCTCGGAATTGTTCCCCTCATACAACCGTGGAGACATAGAGTTTTAAACCGAAGTTATGAATGGACGAGAAACCTAATATCACCAGTTTCAAGGGGGTGTGGTTTACACCGATTGCCGCCATTCACGACACTTATCGAAGTTGACCGGATGCGATGTATGGATAAAAATGGAAGTCAATCAGGTTAGTGGAACAAAAAATAGGAGCAAGTTTTTGTAACTTGTCCAGTGAGCGGGCTTGTGGATTCCGAACAGGGTCTCTAAGAGAAACCGGACACAATTGTGGAATCCTGGAAAGAGTTATAGGAAGAGCTGTGTTCGCTTTTTGCAGGACACGGGAAGCTTCAAGGAGAGAGGTGGACGATATTCCTTACTTTGCCTCACTGAAGAAGAGAAGAAGAACGGGGTATATCCAGCACAGTTGAAGGCAGACTTGAAACGGACCGTATGGGCTCGGACCTGCCGTTGCTCCTCCGTAATCAGTGCGCCGCTCCTCTCTACTGGGACAAATACTGTTGGGAAAATCTCACAGGTAGCTCGAACATGGTGTCTGAGAAGGTGGCCCATTGTTAGTAGTGGTATCCAACCCAGATCGAATTAGTTCCAACCACGACAAAATTTTTCGGTTCCAGATTTCTTGCACCCCTCAGAAGGATTGTAGATAGGATGGGGAGGGATCAGCCGAGACGAAAGACATTTCGAGCGTGGTACCGGCCCCGTCCTGACTCACGATACTGTGCCCTAGGTCCAAAGCAGTAAAGAGGAGTCGTACGCAGGACGCCGGAAGCGCATCAGTAGGTCCGATCCCGCCCATACGACTGCCGTGAACCTCGCATTCGAGTGAAAGGAAGAATGCTGTAGGAAAGAAGGTAAAATACAGTTGCTGACATTTGAGTTTGCTTTCTTTCAGGTATACGCGGCATCGGCGGGAAACCATGCTCAAGCGATAGCAATCCATGGGCAAAGGCTCGGTATCAAGGTTAATGTAGTAATGCCTCGTCATGCACCTCTGATGAAGATTTCCAAATGCAAGGAACTCGGGGCTAATGTGATCGTTGAGGTACCTGTTATCTTCACTAACGATATCACAATCACTTTTACTTAACGGTTGTCCAACTGCGCAGGGTTCACACTTTCATGTGCGCGCGCGGGTCGCTGGTGCCTGCTGCCAACGCGCGACGGCGTGCTACAGTAAGCAGCGGCGCTCCCCGATCCACTCGACGCAAACGCCCCGCAGGCGGCACAAGAAATCTATCGGCACCAGCCCGGCGCTAGTGCCAAGGCGCCCGACAGATACCAGATCTGTCGTGATTTGAGCAATAGTTCACCTTAAACCTCGGCCTCCCCCACACTTTGCCCGTTTGCAGCTGCTTTCGTTTCTATACACTTGAAGCACTCTTGCAATTGTAGCCAGGGCACATCATTGGTTGGGGATTTTAGTCAAGTCTGTACGACCCCCCCCCACTCTGGCCCTCATGTCCATTTAGTCGAATCGAGCGTCGTAGGGGGGGGAGACATATTGATACAGGAAATCCACGGAAACCACACCACTCCTCAGTAAAGCACAAAGTAATACGACCCCCCCCACCCTCACCCTGCCATCATGAGAGCAAAGTAACGAACTACTCCTATTGGTGATTCATCAACGAACGATGTGCGCCTGATTGGTTAGCGCCTTACAGCTCGTTACAGCGCGTCGATGGGTGGAAATAAACACAGAGATACTAATCAAATCCTTCTAGCCCCCCACACCTTCCTTCCTTCCAAGTTCTTCACTTCTCATAGAGCATCAATTATAGGGAAAAGACATAGCGGTTTCAAAAGAAATGGCATTGAAGCTTGCAAAACAAAGTGGTGGAAAATATATCAACGGATATGACATGATAGAAGTGCTAGCTGGAGCCGGTACAGTCGCTGTTGAGATTCTCGACCAGGTTTGGTTATTAGTTTTTGTGCGAATGCACCACCTGCGCATACAGTAGTGGACACCCTCATCCCCACTCAAGCTCATTTTCCTTGAAGGCAAAGTCCGCGATCATTCGCCATCACCGAAAGTAGATTGGAGATTCGTATGTAGACAAAAGGGCTGAGAAAAAAAAGTATACCAACTGCTCTAGAATTCTATTACGTTACTCCAATACTACGCCCCCATCCACACAGTTGATTCCCCGATAAGAAATGGACGACCGTAGAAGTGACAATTTTCATGCTTTTGTCCCGCAGCTCCTTTCTCACTGAAGGCGGGCTTTGTAGACGGGGTCTGGAGGCGGAGACACTGGAAAAGGAAGCGCCTCTGAACCAATATTGCGTAATAGCCCCCTACCTTACGATTTTTTTGCCGAAAACCGGTACAAGGTTTTTCGCTGCGAACCACTCTACCCTTCCTATGCCATAGTTCCAGCTTCTTTTCCTTATCTCGGATTGTGTATTCAAAGAAGCGGTCCGCGATTAGCTATGAAATTGTCAAAGGTTATGTGGGAAGGTAGTGCGGTCCGGGGTGTCCAACCCTGTGCCAGTTTCACAGTGGAAAGTTGTACGGTAAAGGAATTAAGGCGCAAGGTGCTTC